AAAATTAGTTTTTGGAATACTTATGTATGAGGCTAACAACTCGGAGTGTTACGTAATTTTTTTTATCAACAGTATCAGTGAAATTCGTGTTACCTACACTCTACCCTTAATTTTTAGGATTTGAACACTGACTGTTACACCGATTTTGTTTGTTTGCTTTCTTACACTAATTAATTTTGTGTATATGTGTCACTTTATTAAAAATTTTTTTACGTCCCTGATTCCTTTCTAAAATGTTTCTAATAATGCTGTAATTTTTAGATTCTATAAATTAATTTCATATTTATATTTTTAGTATGGGAATAATTCTATATATCATTTAAGGAAGTAAAATCAAAATTGAAGAGCAAAAATAAACTTTTGTCTGGTGAATACTTTTGAATACTGTTGAATAGTATAAAACATCAACATTATTTTAGTGGTGGTGTTATGTTCATTTTGTTGCAGTTTTGCCCACATGAAAACTAATTTTGATCTGACTTTTCCTTTGACTGATATAGTATTTTTTGTGCTCCCATGCAAGTTCGTTTTTAATTTGTCCTTTCGGGATGAAATTCTGAACATAAGGGTATGACTTCAACTAGTTCTTCAGAAAAATCTAGATGCAATTTCATAAAGCTTCAATCCACTATGAGCTTTCCATTGCATTGTCTCCTTTAAGACCAACTTTTTTATCAAGACAGAGAAAATTATCATTTTAAATAATTGTCAGTATTTTCACACCAGGGGTGATGATTTTTTGTGATACTAAATTTCATAATAATGGTTATCTTTGTTGGTGAACAATTTGATTGATTTTGCTTGATCCTATTTCATTTTCCCTTTCTTCTCTTGTAACGTAATTGATTTGTTTTTTGGAGACAAACTCACTTAAGAGTTTGTATGATTTGATACTATCAAGTTATTCAAGCCAGTATAGATAAATTAATTTTTTTCATAGATTATTATCAATTTGGATTCATTTTCTGCCTTTGTATTTCTAGGATTATGAGCTACTTTCTTGTATTGAAATTCTTTTATAGAATTTTATACACGTTTAGTCACATGATTTAATGAAATTGATCAGGCAGGTCCATAGTAATAGTGATACATTCTAATGGTGCAAGGAGTATGATTAGCAAGCAGGATAACAAGGTGCTTTACGTGACGAGAGTGACAATGCTCTGTTGTTAGCAGAAATAAATTTGCATGATGGCGGTTTTCTCTTTCTTACTGTATATATCTACTAATTCAATGATATCATGTTATTTATTGTACTTGTTCTCGCGATTGTTGTATGTTTCTGATTATATAGTAATTTATTTTTCCATATAATTTTCTTCTTTCATATTAGGTTGTGCAATTATTCCATCAATAAGAGACTATATTAACATCATTTATTCCAGTGATTTCCCTATGACGACTATACCATAATCTACTTTCCTATCTTTTAATGAAACGTTTTTTAGTGGTTCTTCAATACTTAATTCATCTTCTCGTATGGCTTTTTTCTTTCTATGTCCCTCTTTAAATAAAACTTTAACTTTCTGATATTAAAGTTTTCGTTTTTTTATTGACAGTGTTACATATACTTTTCAATTCTTTCAATAAAAAGAATCACATGGTTTAATCGATTTTAAAAAACCTTTTGTTTCTTGAAACATCATAAACAACTTTGCATGTTCTTTTGTGGAATACAGTTGATTGAGACCTTTTAATTATTCTAAAGTCTAGTTTTTTTAAAAACATACCACTTATTAAATAATTCCAAATGACTGAAAATTTCTCGAATTGTAAACTTGGATTTTTATCAATCTAATAAACTGCAAATGAGATTAAGATTATGGTGCTTGTTCAACTTGTAGTGGATATATTATTCATTAATCCACAATTATTGGCCAAGGTTGATTAGTGGTAATGGCATGAATCAATTAAAAATAAACAGCTTAAGAACAACACCAAGAATTTACATTGAATTATCAATCAATGTATGGATGCTGATCCAAATAAACATCCAACTGCTGTTGAATCTTGGCTAGAGTCGTTTTATTTTGATGCTTATTCAAATCATGGAAAAATATTTTTGTAAAATAATTTTGACAAATGAATGCATGGTCAAATTTATGTTTTCTGTTACAAATTAAAATTTGCACGAAATTTAAAAGTACCATAGAATCAAAAAAAATTTAAATTCATAACTTCCAAAGTATCTTGATCAACTGATTCTAAAAAATCAATGACAAAATATTTTTACAATTGACTTTTACTCAAGATAGAAATATCAGTATGAGGCCAAAGACATAAGGCTGTATATTCATAGTTATAGCTTGCTCTCCCATGGAGGGGAGATAGCTCAATGAGGAGAGAACGTCATTCAAACTCACTCATCCATTGATGGTAATAAAAATGTTAAAACAATATATAAACGTTGAATATAGTAAATGATTATAAGAGGCATGGTGTTAGGTCACTTCAATCAGGCTAAGCTACAAGGATGTTTACTTTAATTTAAAATAGATATCATTAAAACATATAATCATTGAAAAAATTTTTGATAATAATAAGAGGTGTTTGTTCACTATATAACACTTCTTTATAATAATAAAAAAACTAATGTGAAAATTTTAATAATCAGATGAATAAAATTCATTCATAAATTAAATCATCTGGTATAGTTAATTCAATCTGTTGAGATTCTAAATAATTTAAAATATCATTAATAATAAATAATAAGATTAAATATATAACAATAAATTAGATAATTACTATAATTATTACTAATAATTGTAACTTTATTGGAGTTTGCAGGTTGAGGAAGATTTTCAAAATTCAATAATCTACTTGTATAAACAGCATTTGGATGAACAGTTGCTGTAATTGTTGAAGGATCAAAGAATTTTTTATCTGCTTTCTCAAACATTTTTCTTATTTCTTCTAATTCATCAAGCTGTTCTTTAGAATAAATAGGATTACTTAATTTTAGATTTTCATCATCAATAAAAATTGCATCTTTCCAAAAACCAATAATTTTTAAAATTTCATCTGCTGTTGGTCTTTTTTCAGGATCAGCATCTGTGC